AAGTGTTTAATTTATACCAAAAATGAAAAATACGTGGTTTTGCTTATGAAAAGCTGAAGTGCATTCAACCACAGAGACCATAACTCATATTTAAGTTCATATTTTCACTTCTCGCACCAACTGGAAAAGTACACAATTGTAATTTTCAACCAAAAAAAGAAACTAAAAAAGGAACAATCATCCTAGTTTACTTACTAGGCTACAAGATACCACTAAATGTAGAACACTGAGGAAATAGCAAACTCGAAAGTTCTAATTAAGAAATCTTGACAATCCAGTTAATATGTATATTAGGACAAACAACTAGCCCTCGTAATCGCCCTGGGCAAACTTGTCTTCCGGGTAAAACACTGCTACCACCTGATTACCACCAAACTTCCTGCCATTCAACCCAGTGCGGGCTTTCGTAGAACCGTCAACATCTGCATACTCTAAAAACACCTGTGAATTGAAGAATGGTTTCAGCAAGTAGAAGACGTTATCCTGTCAATCAGATTTTTCAAACTTAAATGTATTAATAACTAGAATTCAGACCAACCTTCCCAACTCCAGGTGACAGTTCACCATCTGGTCTTGGACGTGGGATGATGACATTCACTAACGGTCCTGCAAATCAGTGAAAAACAAATAGATCTTAGAAATAGACAACAAAACAAATCGTAGATGAATTCAGTTAGAAGGTTAGGGAGGCTTCTGTCTGAATGTTAGGCCTGAATCTTTATAGCAGAATGTGTGACTACAAAAAAGGCTGTAAAACAGAAAGATGGGGACAAAAAAAAAGAAAAAGAAAATCAATACCACAATAAACTTTGTAGGATAATTAAAAGAAAAAAAAAGAAATTGTGAAATTAACACTAGAGTGATGGTAATTTACCAAACTTTCCGCCTTCCAGCCTCATGTCTTCCAAAATATCTTCATACTCATCATCATCCCTAAGCTCATCTGCAGTTACTACTTGAGTTAAACATACAACCTTGGTGGCGACAGAACTAGGCGGTTGCAACAACATGAACCTCTGCAAATGAAACAAACACCTCAAGATGTTAAACCAAAACTAAAGTCGAGTTCAGATCAGAATCAATATTAAGAAGATTGAAAGTATTATTGAGTAAAGTATATAAGCACATTCATTTAAACACTGCATGTTAGGAAATACGGCCCATATTACATAAAATATTCTCACCCAAAAACGAAAAGATTAAAAATTCAGTACAAGGATAATATGAAATATATAGATAAGTTATGAAAAAGAGTGTTTTCAAACTACATCATATATTTATCAAGGATACACTATTTTATAAAGTCTACAACTACATGTATAATTTATGCATTATTTACTAGGATAACATGGACAATTCTAAAGTAAACATCATATTTGCAACAAAAAAAGACACCTTTTCACCAAAATATCAGTAACTGCAGACTACGGACTCCTTCAGCAGGAGTGACCTGTCCATAACACAATTTTCTAAAGGAAAAACCAATTTAACTCTTACCTGCAATGCAATTTGCTGCTGTGCATGCAACAAAACACTCTCTTGCTCTGGTTTGGGCTGGTTGGCACCTTGATTAGCACGCCTAACTGTGAGCGTCTTGTCACCCATTTTAATACCGTTAAGTGCTGCACAAGCTATGTCCGTAACTGAAAGATCTTGATAAACACAAAAAGCGTAGCCTTTTGAGTTTCCTGTTTCCCTGTCTTTCACTAAATCAAAACCACGAAGGGGTCCGAAGGATTCCAGCAACTCCTTGATCTGTGCTTCTGTGAAGTAATAGGGTAGCCCACCCACAAATATGCGGTCAGGACCCTCAAGCCCACCAGCAGAACCCGGTGTAAGCCCAACAGCAGCCAGGTTCAGATTGGGACTTGGCTGGCTTGGACCAAGTGTTGCAGCAAGAGATGGGTTGTAGTCGCTAGGTCTCCTCACCTTTACAGGGGCTCCCTGTATTAATTACCCAATTAAAGAAGGGGGAAAGTCAATACCATGCAATATGCTTCACAAAGTGTCAATACCATGCAATCTGCTTTACAAAATGTCAAAGCGGCACAAATAACAATCCTATACTGATCTAAACACAAGGGAAGTTTAGAATACCTCAAATATAATTCCATCCAGAGCCATTGCATTGCTGGCCTCTTCAACCGATCTCATCTCAACAAAAGCGAATTTCTTTTCGTGGTTAATGTAAACATTGACAACAGCATCTCCTGCATGAAACAAATAGGAAAACAATTAGGTAATCGTCTTTAGGCAAGGACACTTGATTATGTACAGACTTGAGTGCAAACATCAGTATACCTGGGGCAGCTGTATTCCCTCCAATTGCAGCCATAACTTGGCTGAAAAATGTAGCAACCGACTGCAGATGATGGCACATTAAGACACATTGTACATTTGGAGTAAACCATATTTCTTTATTCTTTTTGTAGCGTGACTAATTTAACAAAAACAAAATTCATGGAAGTATTCATTGAAGAAAAATAGATATTTATCTGAACAATGTCAAAGAATATAACAATGTAACTTTACTAACCATAAGTAGAAGAGCACAAATAATAAAAGGTTAAAAAAAGTGAGTAAACCTGTTCGTTTGCTGTAGGAGGAAGCCCTCCAACGTACACCCGTCGGGCATGCCTAGTAGCCTGATTATAAATAAAAAACAATTAATGTCAGCACATGCTACATATAGGGGAGTGTCGGATGTAGGAATGCATCGAAGAAAAAAAATTTATCAATCATGCCAACCTGTTGAGTCATTGCCTGTACAGGCATAACTGGAAGGGATCCAAACTGCTGTAAGCACACAAAAAGACATAATATTAGTGAAGATCAAGCATGCTAACATGTGTGGGTCGCAATATGTTAGGAGGGATGGTGGGAGGGACGAGGGAAGGGAGGATGAAGGCAGCGAAAGAAAGTGAGCAAGAGAGGAGAGAGAGATACCTGACCGGTCGCTAGAGGGAACATGTTTGGGAACATCCCAGGAATGGTCGGACTAGTCCCAGGAATTTGCCCTGCAAAAAAAATTAGATCCCATTTCAGTTATCAGATCAAATTTAACTTCTAGGACTAACTGAATGTAAATACCAAATGACTCCTCTGCCACTTAATTTTCCATGAAAATTCATTAGATTAAGGATATCCTAACCTTCAATTTTATATAGTCTATCAAAAGGAGATCAAAATAATACATCATTTACAAGTTCTGGAGGAAATATTTGTAAGACTACCAAAAAAAGGCAATAGTTGCCGGTTGAAGACGAACAAGATCCATCAAACCGGTGCATTGATTCCTCCTTGTACATAAAAGCTACAGAAGTCGGCTCACACCCATTGTCATCACAGTGGGGCAAGTAGCCCAACATTGCCTTCTTACAACAAAGGACAAGACATAGAAACAAACAAACAAAAACACCAAACACAAGAAAAAAACCAGAAAGATCTCTCAGTCCCAGAATTATTTCACCAATTAAACAATAAAAAATCATAACCCGTCCACAGACCGCAGATTTATAAAGGCTATATGCACAAGTGAAGGAACAAAATATAGCTTACCAAAGTAACACCATCAATTGGATACGAACTTTCCACACTATTCCAACAAAGACAAAAGGCAGTTAACAAAATATAACAATCCTACGTATAGGAGTGAAAATGTACCTGCTGCAGCAACGGCAGCACCAGCTAACATTGCAGAAGCAGGAGGCGCCATGTCAAAACCGCTAATCCTTTTGCTGCAGGAGTTAATGTCAGGATACAAAGAACAAATATAATATATAAGTGACAACTTAAAACCCTGAGACTAAAACCTACGTTCTGGGAATTACTTAAAAAAAGTTATGATCGCAACAAAAGAGAAAAATAAAATCTGCAAAATTTTCCATCTTATCCCAGACATAAACTACATGAAACTAATACAAGAAATCTCTACTACAGAATTCATATAACTTGATAGTTCTCTACTTCACTACATAAACTGGTTACTGTAGACCATACATCTGGATAATACATACCGAACTCATATAAAAGGGAAACAAATATACGAAAGATTTAGTACATAAATGATAAACCACAACACATACAGAACAAATTTTGAAAACCCCATACATCTGGAAAGATAACACTAATCAAAACATACTCCAAGGAGCACAATATTTAAAAATTACGCCAAAAATTATTTGTATAAATTTGATCATGACCTACAAATTTAAACCACTACGGATAGTAGATATTTATGTACGCCATCAAAGTTCCTTTTCCTAATTAAATCCATGCAGCTAGATCCTACATAGTCAAATAGTACGAATAAAGACGACAAGCAAGCAAAATGACTAACAATAAGTTGGTCGATAAAGAGACCCGAGTAAAGCAAAAAATTTGAATGACAATAACTCATGTCAACCAAGTGTTTATTCCAAATATAGAATTTGCTACGGTAGTTAGGAAGCCCTTAAAGTGATTCAAACGCATTTTTTATCCACATTCACATACTAATCTCTCAAATAACTACCTTTTTGAGCGTGAACGAGAACGTGACCTCGATCTGGATTTGTGCTCAGATCTACCCCTCGAATGAGACCGAGACTTGCGCCTATGCCTATCCTCCCTGTCTCTGTCATAATCCCTCCGCCTGTAAAATCAATTCATAAATAATAATAATAATAATAATAATATTAATAATAATAGAAATAGAAATAAGACTCACAATAATTCAAAGGATTTGTTTCTAGAATAAAGAAATTTAAAAAAAGGGAATGCTTCCCCTGATTAATTCACACACTAGTAACAATCAATATAAAAAATTCCAAATTGCATCAAACTCAGTTGACAGCACACAACAGAACATTCATTTTACAAGTAAATAACTAGCTAAAAAAAACTCATACCTATCAGAGTCCCGGATACGGTAGTGATCATCATCGTCATCGTCCTTATCTCTCCTCCGCTCACTTCTCTCGCGATCCCTGTGGCGGTCCCTATGATGACGATCACGATCCCTGTCTCGAGACCTTTCTCTTTCTCTATCTCGGTCCCTATCCCTATTCCTATCTCTGTCCCTGTCCCTTTCCCTATCTTTGTCCTTGCTTCTCCCCCTATCTCTATCTCTGTCCCTCTCCCTCTCCCGATCTCTGTCCCTGTCCTTCTCCTTATCACGCCCCTTTTCTCTTTCCTTTTCTCTACTCTTTGAAGATTCTCTCTCATAGTCACGAGAGCCATGCTGCAAAAGAGACCATCAGATCACTGTACCTTAAAATAACTGATGAAATGAAGCTAATATACACCATTTTCAGAAAGATATTGAAATAAATATTTTATCAGAAGTAAGGAAAAGAGTCTATTATCCTTTACAAAAATAAACCGGAAGTTCAAGTGCTAATAAATATCAACAAGCTTTTCTAAGATTGGATATCTAAGATACAATGGAATACACTTTAATGCATAATCCTAGAAAACCCCAATATTGAGTATTTCCATAAAATATGAAAAAGGAAAAACTAAAAGCCCCAGATTCATAGCAGAAAACGAGCAGATCATACACATACAGACACAACCAACAACATTAAATTTATACAAAGAACCCTAACCAGTCCAGCTAACCCAACATAAACCCTAAAACACCCTCATAAACGGAGCCCCTTCGCAGCGATCTTAATTTTATGTAATCAGAAGAAAATAAGAAGTCAGTAATCGCATAATTTTGCAACTCTTGGTGTACCTGAGATTTGGAATCGCTGTAATCGTCGGGACCGCCATGGTTGGTAGCACGAGGTTGGGGAGAGGAACCCCCATCGCCATAGTTGTCAGCGTCCTCTCCGTTCCCTTCGTACCTTCCTTCGTAGTCCGTCATCTTAGGTTTCAGTTATCCCGGACTTTCTCGGAGTTGCTCTCTATCACAGTCTTACTTTGTGTTTGTTTCTCGGGGAAATTGTCTGCGATGTTAGAAGACTAGACCGACTCTGAGCGGTGAGAAATCTAGGGCTCGATAATTGGGATTTTTCCACTTTATAGAGAGCACGAAGTTGAGTTGAGTGGACCTTAGGCGGTATAAAAGTTTTTTTTCTTGAACTTTTTACTACAAACTGCGGCCAGTAATATTATGATGAGATTTTACCAAAAATTAGAAATTGCACTTGAAACCTCTTATTAGATAACATTAGAAAAATGTTGACTTTTATAAATAACACTAGAAGAAGAGGTATCCTTATTTAAGTCTTGTTCTTAACCTAATCTCTTCTTTTAGTCCGTATAGAAACAGAGATAATTTGTGCTATGATTTATACCAAACATCGAAATGTGTACAAGAATATTGAAATTTTGATGGTCTCACGAAAAGAAATATCACTAAATTAAGAGTTAGCGTAACACAATGCTCTATCAAAATTTTATTGAAGATCAGTATCTAATAATGTGTGATATAGCATGTGTAATACGATAAAAGTTTAAATTGTCAAATAATCTTAAACTTTGCAAATTTTTCACCAAGATATTTCTTAATTGAGATCTAAAAACTAGGTGGTTTAGACCATTAACCACACAACGAAATGCCCCAACGATAGAATTCTTTTCAACTATTCATCCAAAAGGTTTCATCAAATTTCCATGGGAGTCCCAATATATGTGTGTTTTTAGTTTGGTTCATCACGATAAATCTCGGATAGCTTGTTACAGAGGAAACAAAGATAACATGTTGAAAATGCGCCTGCATAAAACTATCATTGTACAAGTTGGCGTGTATCGTTCTTTTTCTTGTTTTGGCCTTGGCCGCCATGGCAATCCCAAAAAAAACAAAATTTACTAACATTGCACAACGATGTACTTCATGAAAAAGAAAGAAAAAATGAATTTGGCAGCTCCCTATTCCTTGAACCACCGGTTAAAATTTTGTCATAAATCCATCATCAGGTTTCCAAAATTAGTTCGGACCGCCGTCACCGCTTTTTAAGATCCAAGCAGAACCCTTGAACACGCAAAAATCATTCATGACCTGCACAAGTAAGCAACTTCTAATGAGAAATTATTATGGAAGAATCATACTTCTGGTTAACATGCAAAAGCAGTCATCGCTGATATAGCATTTACACTGCTACACACAAGGGCTGAGACCCCTCCTAGACTGTTATGTAAACATGTAAAAAGTATAAACTTAATTAAACCGTGATTCTAAGATTTGGTTTTCATTGCCACTAATTGAGCCCTCATCCCTATCTTTCGGTACAGATGAGGTTAACTGAGACGCAATGTGCAATTCCATGCTGAGGTGCAAGTGCAACAGAAAAGCAAGGGTTTTTATCAAGAACTGCTAGTACCGTCGTTCCAGAAGAATCAACGTGTTTTGCTGACCACTGATACACAAGAACCATATAATTGGGTTCAACTACAGAGTTGAAAACATTGGGCAACAAGAAGAGAACACCTATGGTTTCTTAGGGGTTTCTAGAGCCTAGGGTCTTCTCACTTATTTTTAAAAAAATTGTTGTGACAAACAGTCAAAATAAAGAAAAAAGGAGAAATTTTATGTTAGGTAGCCTGACAACCAATGTAAACCTCCTTCAGATTACAAACATAAGAAACAACTAACCTTGTTGTATTCGTTAGTGTTGATGTCCCTCTCAAGGGCAATCTTGGCAGCTTCAAAAACCTCACCTCTTTTAAGCTTCGCATCAGGTCCTTTTGTGCATAGTAGATCAATAACAACTTTCCTGCAAGAACAAACACAAATACAAAGTAAATAAGAGTATAACTTATTACTTAACAATTCTTGCAACTGATGGAATCCCGCTCATTCAGAAATCACCGTGGAACACACACCACAACATCATCATAGTTTCTGGTAAGAAAACAAGTGATTCTTATAACCTCTTCTGTTAATATATCATCCCTACACCAAGGTACACAACATCATATGTTTTAGGCACTTTGTCAATAAATAGATGAAAACGGAAACAACCTCAATCTGTCATGCTCTGAGTGCTCTGGCGATGATTTCAAGACATATAACCCATGTATGTCTGCTGCAACTTGACATATCACTTTCTGCAACTCATGTTGGGGAGCATCAACACCATATGCTGCATCAATCACCCTTTTAGTTTTAGGATCAACCTTTGGAAGAGAAGATTTTCTGACTGCCAACCTCCGTAATCCTTCACATATGAGCCTAAAGCTGCCAAGAAAATTGCAAGTCAAAACTACAAGATAGAGGAAGATACTTCCATCAGTTCTGACAACTTCATGATTGCACCATCATATTGAGAACAAAGAGCGTTAATACTGTAAAGTGTAAACTGGATAGGTGAAGGACAGCAGAAACCTTTTCAAAAGATAATTTAATCAAGTATACTATGAAACTACCGTTTTATAGTTATAACCTTAATAATAGAGCAACATTAATAGCCGTTCTAACAGGATTAAAATTCCAAACTAAAATATGAATGCTAGTATTAGTATTTTTGTTCATCATGCATGTTAAACAATTAAATTTGATACCCATAACTGTACTAATTAATGTTTCCTTACACATTTTACATGAAAATTTGAAGTAAATTGATAAAGTAATTGCCAAATTTGGTAGACATGATATTCATAACCAAAAAATTAAATTCAAAATTTTAACTAAGAAATAACAAGAGACAATAGAAGTAATGAGGTGGCATAAGAATTAAAAAAATTTACACTGCTGTCAAGAGTTAACTAATTCTATCTCGTTTTCTAAAACACCTGACTTTTCATAAAATAAAATAAAAGTTGGAACTAGCAGAACTACCTAATGCTAGCAATTATAATTCCAGACTCCAGTTCAATGTCTACTACAGAAAATCTATCAGAAACTTTTTGATGCATGAATGCAGCTTCACAAATTGTGAAATGTGCAGAGGTTACAGCTCAAATCACCTACTTGCAAACTTTGTGTTCTTGAAGAACTTCCTTTATAGCCTCTGGTAAAGCTGCTCGAGTTTCATCTGACATGGTTCTTCCCCCAATCTGTACATCACTTGCACTTTTTGTCGTACCTTTATCAGAATTCAGTGACTTGCCAGGCTTACTAGTCATACAAGCATTCTTCACACCACGGTCAGTATGAGCTTTAAAAGCATTCGCCAACTTTTCTTCCATTCTTTCCCAGTTCTGTTCTTGGCTTTTAAAGATGTCTGGGTAGAGTTCTTTAAAAGACTTATCTGACTTCTCTTTTAATTTCCAATCTTGAGAGGAAGGTCTTGAGACAGCTAAAATTTTCATGGATTCATACACATGATTTTTATGGTTTTGTGGGAGGTTCAACTGTGAATTACTGATTACAGTGTTCTTCCTAAATAAATTTAGGACGTAATTTCTAGCTGTCTGCCGAGCAACATGATCTCTATCTTTCATATCTTTGGATGGATATAGCAATAAAGTTTTTGGAACCCAGAGACCAGAGTCCAGCAGTAATTGAGCATGCTTCTGAAGAACATCCAGAAGTTCTTCCCCAGTGTGATCAGGAGCGAAGTACTTCTTAAGATCACTGAACCGACGAGCTACAGGTTCCTGTTATGGCACAATCTTGAATTAATGGATTGCTCAAGAACAGCCCTAAGAGAGTGTGCTTCTGAAGGTTATGAATCCACTGTCATGACTTAGAATTTTTCAAAAATAAAGACAATGATGGAAAATTAGCCCCAGTTCCATATGATGGAAGGCACAATGCTACTATGAGGTCAGACAAAAAAAGGTACGCACCAGCTTCAAATTTATTACTATAATATTATCAAAACACTAATATGTGGCTTAAGTAAGTTGCAACCAACCTCAACAAGCAACTTCTTGATACGCTCTTCCAGAGGCAGGGAAAGTAGAAACCTAAAACGACATTCATTCACATATTTAAATCAAAATCAAAATTAGGTTTAAAAAAAAGTGCGAATGTTTTCATTCAAAAGCTATGTCCTTAACAAGTAAATAAATAAATATGCATAAATGTACACAAAACCATGTGAACCAAAAACTTTGTTTGTCCACCAAAATGACAAACAGGCAAAAACAAGAGCAATCACCATATAGTATATATTTCTCTCGTTGTTTATCTAGCCAGCCAACAGGATTAAGATAACCAACTTCACAAGGGGAATGTGAGGTCAACCAATAATTTTATATGACAATGTCTTGGTTGCTTCTCGTTCTGTATTTTGTTTCTATATGTAAGACTCATCTTCAAAATTTCAAATACACATCCTCTGTTTTCATGCAAGATTAAAAGACCCCATCAGTTTCAGCTTTTTGCAACTATTAAAAGAAGGGCAAAATTGATACTTCGCTTACCTCTTTGAAAACTTAAGATGATGCTTTCAAAAGTACAACTTAATCAAAGGAACTCAACATATTACAGTATGCACAATGTTAAAGAGAAAGGAAATTGACGAACTCAATAATATGAAAATGACCGCACCTTCTTGAAGAACCTTTGCACGTTCTAGGACACAAGGAGTTAACATAGTCATACCTTCAAATAACAATAAAAATTTAACCATTATAATTTGAATTTTAAAACTTTTAAAGAATGGTGAAAAAGGTAGTATTGGGAAATAAATAACATACGGGCTCATAGTAAACTGTATAGGAGAACTTTCTTGTCCTACCATCCTTCGTAAATATTTGGCCGAAAAATCACTTTCTGAGGAATGATACTCTATGAGGTCAGACAAAAAAAGGTACGCACCAGCTTCAAATTTATTACTATAATATTATCAAAACACTAATATGTGGCTTAAGTAAGTTGCAACCAACCTCAACAAGCAACTTCTTGATACGCTCTTCCAGAGGCAGGGAAAGTAGAAACCTAAAACGACATTCATTCACATATTTAAATCAAAATCAAAATTAGGTTTAAAAAAAAGTGCGAATGTTTTCATTCAAAAGCTATGTCCTTAACAAGTAAATAAATAAATATGCATAAATGTACACAAAACCATGTGAACCAAAAACTTTGTTTGTCCACCAAAATGACAAACAGGCAAAAACAAGAGCAATCACCATATAGTATATATTTCTCTCGTTGTTTATCTAGCCAGCCAACAGGATTAAGATAACCAACTTCACAAGGGGAATGTGAGGTCAACCAATAATTTTATATGACAATGTCTTGGTTGCTTCTCGTTCTGTATTTTGTGTCTATATGTAAGACTCATCTTCAAAATTTCAAATACACATCCTCTGTTTTCATGCAAGATTAAAAGACCCCATCAGTTTCAGCTTTTTGCAACTATTAAAAGAAGGGCAAAATTGATACTCCGCTTACCTCTTTGAAAACTTAAGATGATGCTTTCAAAAGTACAACTTAATCAAAGGAACTCAACATATTACAGTATGCACGATGTTAAAGAGAAAGGAAATTGACGAACTCAATAATATGAAAATGACCGCACCTTCTTGAAGAACCTTTGCACGTTCTAGGACACAAGGAGTTAACATAGTCATACCTTCAAATAACAATAAAAATTTAACCATTATAATTTGAATTTTAAAAGCTTTTAAAGAATGGTGAAAAAGGTAGTATTGGGAAATAAATAACATACGGGCTCATAGTAAACTGTATAGGAGAACTTTCTTGTCCTACCATCCTTCGTAAATATTTGGCCGAAAAATCACTTTCTGAGGAATGATACTGAAGTGGAACCCAACTCTGAAAGAGGCAGAGGAGGAAGATATTATCCCAACTAATCTAATAAAATCAACCACCGTAATGCACACAGTCCTTTGTAGAAACTCAAACACAAAACACCAAGTACATTTTTTTTAGGCTTATTATCACAAAACGTCCCTGACGTTTGCGAAACTATCACATTGCATCCTTAAAAAAATTTTGTATCACTGATGGTCCCTAACATTAATATAGGTACTCTCAAATAGTCCTTCTGTTTAAAAAAACTGTTAAATTCAGGGATATAATCGTCAAATCAATCAAAAATTATAAAATATATATAAGTTTCTCTCTCCCCTCTTTCTTTTCTGTTTCCTTTCCTTCTCTCTTCTCTGTCTCTGTCTCTCTTTCTTTTTCTCTTCTCGCTTACCTCTTTGAAAACTTAAGATGATGCTTTCAAAAGTACAACTTAATCAAAGGAACTCAACATATTACAGTATGCACAATGTTAAAGAGAAAGGAAATTGACGAACTCAATAATATGAAAATGACCGCACCTTCTTGAAGAACCTTTGCACGTTCTAGGAAACATGGGTAGTGCCGGCACTGAACATTTCAACAACAGTGCAGAGCCCATAATATGCAGGTGAAAATTCCTCACACAGCATCCCTTCAACTCTTCTCATGATCTTTCCTTGTTCCCAAACTCTCTCACTTCCAATCTCATGATAATCACATTCCTACAAGCTCCAGGCCCAAGTGGACCAAAACCCATTTCATAGATTCTTCGGTTGGAGCCGGGTCAAATAGCGAGAGAGAAAGAAGAAAAAAAGAAAAACAGAGAGAGAGAGAGAGAAGAGTGAACTCGGGGAGAGTAAGAAGAAGAAGAAAAGAAAGAGAGAAGGGAAGGAAATAAAAAAGAAAGAGGAGAGAGAGGCCTGCACTCGGGGAGAGGAAGAAAGAAGAAAAAAAGAAATAGAGAGAGAGAGAAGAGAGAAGGAAAGGAAACAGAAAAGAAAGAGGGGAGAGAGAAACTTATATATATATTTTATAGTTTTGGATTGATTTGACGATTATATCCCTAGACTTAACATTTTTTTTAACAGAAGGACTATTTGAGAGCACTTATATTAACGTTAGGGACCATGAGTGATACAAAAAAACTTTAAGGATGCAATGTGATAGTTTCGCAAACGTCAGGGA